TGAGCATTCCTTGCATCGTCTCTGTTCACTAGCCATTCCAGACAACAAAAGATCAATTGTGTTGACATCACAGCAGCATGAGTGAGCTGCCAACTCAGTTTCCATCTCTTAAAACCAGGCAAGCTTTGAAAAGAATGACAGAAGACGGTTTTACTCGTCTTTTGGTTAGTTGTTGACTGATATGTAACTGCAACATTGCTGCATTCTGTCCAGACCGAAATCTATTCTTGGAGTTAAATGGTATTGTTACATCAGTAAATAAATATATATATATATTCTATATACAGTGCAGTTGCTAAAATTCATCTAGGAGCTCAAAGGGTCCCTCATGACCCGTTGTTTACCCCTGACGACGGCCCTGGTTCAGTACAGCTGCATTGCCTGTTTTCCTGATCCTGGGAGAGTAGACTACAATGCCGGCTGTTCTGACTCACAGACTGTAAGTACGTTTTTTTATATTTAAAGAGTTTTTATATTTGATATTTTTTATATTTCAAATGCGAGTTTTGAGCAGTGTAGAGTAGCACTTGTTGTTTGTCGTTTCTCTGATCACAAATGCAGACATGGTTTTATGTTTTACGCGGCTCGATACGCAACGCAATGCATAAAAAGACAGTATAAGTCATTATAATCAGTAATTTATTGGTTTTGTCGCATCGCTCCGGTCTGACAGGGCATCATCACAGTATGGTAAGGGGCGTAACATATCCGTCACACGCTTGAGGTATTCAGCCAATCACAACGCACTGGATAGCTGGCCAATCAAAGCACACCTCGCTTTTCAGACCGATGAGCTTTGTAAAAATCGACGCGTTTCAGAAAGGCGGGGCATAGAGGAGAAACAATAATGTACAGTATGTGGAAAATAATGTGTTTTGAACCTTAAACCGCATAAACACATTTCATTACACCAAATACACAAAATAATGTTCTTTTCAGCAACACCATATGACCCCTTTAAGTAATTTGACATATAAATGTAATATATATTTTATTTTGCAACACAGAAGTAAGCTATTTGGCTGCATTAGTGCTAGAATAAAAACGTGCAGTAAATGGTAAATCTGTATGCGCTACAAACCAGTGTGCAGTGTTGGGGAAAGTTATTTTTAAAAGTAATGCTTTCGAATATTACGTTACTCCCTAAAAAGTAACTAATTGTGTTAGTTACTTTTTATAGAAAGTCATGTGTTATGTAACTTTTGCGTTAGGCTACTTTTTCTCATCTGGGTTGGGCTTGCTTGTTTGATTTGACTGTAAAACAGTTCTATCAAAAGTGAACTGAATAAGCCTCAGGCTGAAGGAATTAAATACATAAAGAATTATATGTTAACATTTAATCATTGCAGGTTTGCATCATATTCTGAGTTTGTGCAAGTGAGATGAGTACTGTAAATGCATGTTCACATTTAGTCTAGAACTACAGTAACATCATGTTCACACAGCGCACACAGCTCCTCTGCACTTATTACCAATTTCTCTCAACATGAGGACAGGAGAGCTGTCAGTCAATAAATGGGAAAACAAAGTAACTGGCATTATTACATTATTATAACTAAATTTACTGAAATGTATTATTATTACTTGAAAAAAGTAATAATGCGTGTAATGCGTTACCCTCAACACCGCCAGTGTGTTTATGATTATGATAAGTTGGAATAATATGATAACAAAATACCATTTTGCAATATAAAGTAGCATAACGCACTGTTTTTGTACAGGCAGATAACTTGAAGCCTTGCGTAAAAATAGGTGGATGATGTTAAATGTGAAAATATAGCGTAGGACTTTTGTCCATTGGAATTTTATTGGATCTTACACAACAAATTTCATAAAGACAAAAATGTGTATGGTTTCAGCTATAGGTTAACATTACCCAACAGCCCACATAGCTCCATTTCACAAAAAGGAAAAGCAAAATATGGCATTATGATTAAAGACTTTAAAAAAACAAGCTTTATTTCATATCAACTTAGAAACAAACACCCAGAAATGATCACAGTAATAACTTGCTAATGGCCTGTATTTGTGATCTGGAGCTTCACACTGAAAACACAGTCAGTCTCTTACGGTGATTCATTAATTCAAAGAAACGAATGGGCTTGAGACAAAGTTCCTGATAGCAATCAAGGATTTACCCTGAACTGCAGATTTGTGGTGATACTTCATTTGTCATGCAAAGAGAAAGAAAAGTGAGTGCTGGCTCTTTGTTTAAAAAGGAGGTCAGTAATGCATACTTCTATCCTCGTTGCATACAAGGGATTTTCCTTGCCATTCACTGACTTATCCAGCCGCTAGAGATCTTTTTGACACTTGTTACAGTTGCGTTGGCGTCTCCAGTCACTGGATTCTGAGCATTCCTTGCATCGTCTCTGTTCACTAGCCATTCCAGACAACAAAAGATCAATTGTGTTGACATCACAGCAGCATGAGTGAGCTGCCAACTCAGTTTCCATCTCTTAAAACCAGGCAAGCTTTGAAAAGAATGACAGAAGACGGTTTTACTCGTCTTTTGGTTAGTTGTTGACTGATATGTAACTGCAACATTGCTGCATTCTGTCCAGACCGAAATCTATTCTTGGAGTTAAATGGTATTGTTACATCAGTAAATAAATATATATATATATTCTATATACAGTGCAGTTGCTAAAATTCATCTAGGAGCTCAAAGGGTCCCTCATGACCCGTTGTTTACCCCTGACGACGGCCCTGGTTCAGTACAGCTGCATTGCCTGTCAGCATGTCCTGTGCTTTTATAGGCTACTCCCTTAGCAATTATACCAGCTTGAACAATAGAAGGCAAGCCGCAGATTCTGTTCTACATCAATGAGAACAATATACTCACTTTCAGTTTGTGGATCTGTATTCCACACTAAACGGAGCTGATATTACACAAAAATATGCTTTGGACATATATGTGAATGTGAAGTGACGTGTGGCCAAGTATGGTGACCCATACTCGGAATTAGTGCTCTGCATTTACCCATCCAAAGTGCACACACACAAACCGTGAACACACACCCGGAGCAGTGGGCAGCCATTTATGCTGCGAGTTGGGGTTCGGTGCTTTGCTCAAGGGCATCTCAGTCGTGGTATTGAAGGTGGGAGAGAGTGCTGTACATTCACTCCCCCCACCTACAATCCCTGCCGGTACGAGACTCAAACCCGCAACCTTTGGGTTACGAGTCCGACTCTCTAACCATTAGGCCACGACTTCCCATGACTTATAACACCCATTTGTAAAGTACAACATGTACAGCAGTTTGCACAGCCATTTGTACTTTATTGAAACTTTGTCCCTTGAGCTGCTCATTGTCATACTTTCTTATAGGCAGCAGCTTGATGACTCTGCTTAACAGTCAAGTCAAGTCAAGTCACCTTTATTTATATATATATTTATTTGAAAACTAGTATTTACATAGTGTTTAAATGTCCCTCCCACATTTAAATGTGTTAAGTACACTTAAAATATACAAAAGTACATTACAACGTACAGCAGAAATTATATTAATATATATACATACATTACATTAATATATACATATCTCCCCAACAAGGGTCACTGGCCTGAAAAAAGCATGCAGATATCAGATTTAAAGAATGCTGCATGGTGAAATGTTTTTGTTTTATTGAAAGGGTAACATTACCCCCTACTGGCGAACTGAGGGAAATTAAAAATATAAGCCCAGTCCAATGATGTTTGCTTAAAAATATAAAAATTTGATATTTGTGCTGTAACCAGATATATCACTCCATTAGGAGCCTTGGCACTTAAGCTGAGAATAAACTCAAGTTGAAAGTGCCATCTATATTTAAATGTATCTTATAATCTAGGTGTAACACATGTGTTTATGTATATATATATTTATATATACACACACACATACCCACAACATAAAACATTTTAATTAACTGAAATAAAATATATAAGAAACATTTATATGTATATATTAATTAAACAGAAATGAATTCAAAATATTAATAATAACTATAATAGTACTTTTAATTTAAACTAAAACAACACTGGCTATAGACAAACACTCACACAGATTTTCTTTCCTTTTTTTAACCTTTATTTTAACATCTAGACACTTATACAATTACAAGTACTGTATGTGTGGCAGGAAAACAACTACATTGTAAACGATTAGATTTCAAAATTCTCATAATACAGAATATATAAATCAGCCTGGTAGCTACTCTTCACGATGCTCTGCTGAACAGACTTCCTTCAGTGGTCCCAAAGATATGTAATAATTCATCTGATGAGTGATGTACGGTCAAATGAGGGAGTCCCACTTCATAATCGTCAAAGCAGCAGGATTCTGACCTATTAAAACATGTTTCAATGAACCAAAGTAGAGCTGAACACAAGTCCACTTTAGCTCATCTCAAATGCACTATTTATGTGTTGCAGAAACATGATCAGAATAAAAATGACAATAAAGGAACGACGTTAAAGCACTGGAGTTTCACTACCTGAAAGAAAGAAGAGACCATGCACTCATAAAAACAAATATATCCAGGTATATTAAGAGTGTTAAAATATGCAACAAGCAGAGATAACACTTGATTTGTGAATTAACAGGAGGATGGAAACTGATAATAAAACCATACACTGTAACATAAAAAACAACAACTTTGGACTTTCAAGTAAGTCTTGTCTGATCACAAGACTGAAAACGTCAGGGCTTGTTTTCAATGGTGTGATCATAAAGAAACCTAATTTGCATGTCAAACACTATTATTGAATGGAAAGATATTTCTATACCTGTTAGACCAGCTACCAACAACCTCATTTTAAACGACTTTAACATAATGCCTCAGTTGATATTTGTTATTAGGTTCATAAGCCTCTGTCCACACAATCAACAGTACTTTTTGCAATTAACAAAAGTATTAATTTGAATTTCAAACATCTGCTTCTCACCTTAAGAGTTTTTAAATGTATAATATTTCATTTTGGACCAATGTAGGTCACAGCTTTGCCCGTCTTTTTCAGTGTTTCCAGAAGGACGTCCGTGTCTTTGTCTGACTCGATGAAGACCTTCTTGTTGGGCAGATCAATGTCAAACTTGACATCTGTTGAGAAACACAACTGAACTTTTACTTTTAGTCATTCAGCAGATGCTTTTATCCAAAGCGACTTACAAATAAGAAAAAGTAATTACAACTAAAAGCTAAAACTCTATAAATACTAATATATATATATATATATATATACACACACACACATTTAAGAAAGTAAATAAAAATGACAAATGCATACAACAACATTTCAAAACTAAACATTTAAATGAAAACAAAGCTTTTGGAAAGCTAAAAACAATTCAAAATATTAAAAGAACAATAGGTATGAGTATAATAATGATTCTAACATAACACTAAGCCAAACACCACAAAAACAACTACATGTGTGTGTATGTACAGCCACACACATATACATGTACATATTATATATATATATATATTATTTCATTTCCGTTTTGTATGTTGAAGTACTGAAATAACTCAAATACAAGATAACTAATACAAATCAAACTACATTAGTTTATCAGTAATCCTAAAAAAATAACACTGAGCCAAACACACATGCTGAAATAACAACAACTGACTGACATAGTAAGAAATGGTTATAAAAACCTGAAACAGAAGTGAAACTAGTAGGAAAGAGGAGAAATAAAAAGTGATACTTATTCTACACGTTCATATGCATATGAACTCGGGATGTAACGATTACCGGTTTGGCGATAAATCGTGATAAAATACCCCACGGTTAGTATTACCGTTTCATATTTTAATTATCACTAACCGTATTCGATTACCGTGATTTGAACAACTGAGGATAAATAAATACTGTCCAGCACAGGGCTCCAGAGTGCCACCAAATGGGCGCATTTTGCCATCATTTTTTCTGCCCGTGCGACTAAATTTTGTGTGCGGTCGCACTGGCGCGACTACCGCATTTCATATAACTATAAACTATGATAAAAGTTCATCAGCATGCATTGATTAATCCCTAAAAATAAAAATATCGCGACCAAATCATGTGCTGGTGTGACCAACTGAGAAAGTTAGTCGCAAAAGAGCGACCAGTGTGAAGAATGAGTCTGGAGCCCTGAAGCATAAAACACAGTGTTATTACATTAGATATTTGACATTTACATTCGATATCTGACATTTGCATTAGATATTTGAACATGCTATTAGATAAACTGTTGTCAGTCATGTTGTCATTTAAAATCCGGACACCATTGGTAATGTTATTGTTTTAGTTATGCAAACAAAAACTCATTTTATTTGTTGTTTGTTGATTTTAAATGTAAAACTTGGTGAAATGATTTGTGTCAGTACTTTTTGAACATTTCCAGCACATTTTAACAATACCGTGATAATACTGATAACCGTGATTATCTTGGTCACTATAATCGTGATAAGAACTTTTCATACCGTTACATCCCTAATATGAACTGTTCCCACATGACAAAGCAGCTACTAAAACAAGAAAGAAATGAAGCTGTATTTTGATATATTCAGCCAAAGTAGTTTCACTTTAATGTTTGAAATAGTGTAGGCCGATAAATAAACAGTCCAGTGGTCTTACAGCAGAAGACTGCTTGAAATCGGAAATATTCAAAAGCATACCCAGCTTTTTAAGCACTCGAGTGACCGCCCCAGAGCATCCCTCACATGTCATGTCCACAAAAAACTGGTGAGTCTGTCAGGAGAAAAGAAAACATCTTTGATTCAGCTCTATAAGAGAATCAATCTCCAGCTAGCTACAAAGCTAAGAGGAGTTATGCCAGATAAAAAGTGATTTTGAATGTCCACAAATCAGGAAGCAACAAATAAACAGATCTTTCCGAGTTAAATTTTAAATTAAATGTGAAATTACCGTCATGATCGATCAGATTGTCGCTGCAAGCTCAAGTCTAAAGACTCGCTTTTGCTGCTGGACTGTTGCTGTACAGTCAGAGGCAAACGACGCACTGTTTAGTTTAGGGATCATCACTAAATTACTACTATTTTCTTACAAAGCGTACGTTTGAACCACTGAAGGCTGATTTATCCACCTTTTTCTTGTCGTAAAAATGGGCGCGGCCATTTGTAAATTATATGGGTCTGACTTCCGGTCTGGCTTCCGGTCTCATCTGCGTCTAGCTATTTTTAGCTGAGCAAAACAGTTGGTTTTGCTGCTTGGTATTGAAAGTTGGTGTGTCTTATCATATTATTTTAATGTATTATCTTAATTATGAACACACTGGTTTGTAGTGCAAACAGTTTTACCGTTTACTGCACGTTGTTATTCTCCTCGTTATTTACCTGTAGCGGCTAATGAACCGGAAGTCTCAGCCATAGGCTTACTTCCGCGTTGAAGAAAAAGGTGGATACTTCTGCGTCGGACTTACGTCGTAGCTTACGCATAGACGCACACCCATACGCCTAAAGTAGGCGGAGCCAGCCGTCGCCATCTTGGCAGCGCGTCACTCTCGGATAATCGAAAATGGGCAAAGAGGCGGGAGCTGGTTGCTGAGACCACGCCCACCTAGCTCGACAGCAGCGACAATCCACCTGTCACTCAAGTGGCCACGCCCTTAATTATGCAGAACTTTAAGGCTTAATATAATTTAAACGGATGAGTTATAAAAAAATTCACCCCGCTAACAGTTGTCATGAAGGGCAAAATTAGCTATATAGACCAAAATCATTTTTTGAACCAGGCTGTAAACATGTTTTTTTCTGCTGTAAAGTTGGGCATTTTAACATGGGGAGTCTATGGGACTGACTCCGTTTTGCAGCCAGCCTCTAGCGGCCAGTCGATGAATTACAGTTTAAGTCACTTCCGTGTTGGCTTCACGAGAGAGAGCGGGAGGTTGCCGCTCGGTCTTATCATTTATTATACTACACAGCATTATACATCAGTAGTTGTCCGCAACAAACAATGTTGATCTGCCGTAGTACAAGTCATTGTGCAGATTGAAAGAATGCCATCATCTCCTGTTCCGTTGTTGTCTCCTTTTTGTAGTTTTAAATAATGATTTAATGATTTGATATTTATTTGCCGGCGTCACGGCTATAATGCTTCTCCGACGAGCCTGTTTCTTCTTCGGCTTTTGCCGTGGTACTGCGGGTTACACCAGCAACATGCCCGTGGACACTGCAGACTAGCGGTTTGCATGAGTACTGCACATCGACGCGGACAACGACGCAGGAGTATAAATGAAAACTGACGCATAGCCTACAGCGTAGGTCCGACGCAAAAGTATAAATCAGCCTTAAGTATGCATACATATATCCGCTCAAAGTGCAAATACTGTGAGAGACTGTGCTATACTAGTTGTCATGTTTGTTTTACGAGTCAATGAGTTATTTCTGGAGAAATGGACAAGCGTTTTAAACAGTACACACATAATACTACATTTTTAGACGCTCCCTTATTTTGAAGCGCCCACTGCGGCATAAAATGAAATAATAAATTGAAATAAAATACAATTAAATATAACTATATATATATATATATATATATATATATATATATAA